GTTATATTTCTGATATTTGCCCTATATAGAATTGTACTACTCACCTGATATTTCATATACATTATTCAGCCAATTATAGGCCATATAGTGGTTCGATATAGGACGAATATTTTCATAATTTTTTTCATAACCGTCGTTGAACAGCTGACCCAATTTTATTACTACTAATGTTCATCTCAGTAGCCTTCTAATTTTGAACCCAATTTAGAAGACAAGGGAACTCATGGATCGAGTATTGGGAGAGATTTGCCTTCGCAGAGGACTTTTTAATGGAGCTAACTCACATTTGCGTTACGTGGAAAGGAAGACCACGAGAACCTCCCACGGTTAGACTGACATCAAGGGGACTCAAACTCATGATTCGTCTACCACTTAGGATATTTCACGTCAGCACTGTGGTCGGTGCAAGCCGGATGCGGAATTCGTATTACTGGGATTCGAACCCGATTCGTCTCATTGGAAGGCGAACGCTCTATCCCCTGAGCCATCGCGGCTGTAGGACGAATATTGAAAAAAATCAAGACATCCCATTATTGGTCCCTCGATGCATGCTCATATAGGACACATGTTGGGTCAACTTTGAACCCAAATGGGGCCAAGAAAATATTGTCACTAAGGTCGATGAATTTGTTGAACTTAAAACTTAATACGTCAAAGTTCCAAACATAAAAAAATAGTTTGCTTAATCAAAATTGATATGACTTAACAATTATTCTTAAAAGAAGTTGACTTCTGAAAAAAAATGGAAAACTCTTGCATTTTCGTTCCCTCAAATTAACATACGAAAGAAGTAAAAAAGAAAACTTTATATATCCTAATCTACCGTATAGCGTAGTCATCATCATAATTTAGAAATGTCTAATGTACAATGTTGCATTAATGAAGCTGAACAAAATGTAACAAAGATATATCATTGTGCTGGAATTGAATTACACGGATGTAAGAAACATACTTTTTTTGGCCATTCAATCAGTGCTTTTGTTTTCTCTTAGGGTTATGTTGATAGAGACACTTCAGCTCACATTAGCCTAATGACTTTCAAGCGGAAAAGGAAATTGTTTCGTTTTGAAGTAATAATACTTGTGACTTTGTCCCGTGATATTTAGCTTACTTTTATTATGATTACTTCTTCGCTGTATAATAATGAAGGAGATGTAGTACTTTGCTTAGAATTTGTCTTTTTTTTTAACGCTAAAGGGGGTTATTCAAATGGTTTCTATGTGACTTGAGTACTGTGGCAATCGAATATTTACTAAATTTTTATTGGAAAAAAAGACAAGTAATTAATTTTATTTTTATCGCATATTTTATTCTGCTTCAGTTTATTATAATAACTCATACTTCAAAGAAGATCTAGTTCCTTGCTTTGAATGCGGCTTTACATAAAGTGAGGAGGAAGTGGTACAAATTGTTTCTGTTAAGTTTTAGCGAATCGCAACTCGTAAATTACCGCTCAATATTTTATTTTACATTAATTTCAAGTTATTTGTTAACTTTTTAGCATTTATTTGTCTCTTTATGAAATAATTTAAACATCACATTAAATTTTTTTACCATGTTTGTTATATAAAATCGTCTCCTAAAGAAAATAAATTTTGTTTTGAAATTGTCTTTTGAAAGCGATGAAGAATTTGTTAAGAGTGTTCTGTAACTCCGAAGAATTTTACTCTCAGAAACTTAATACATTTTTGTGTTTTTAATTAATACAAGAACTTAATTTTTTAATACCATGTTATTTTAATGCGATTCAGTTCATTTCATTTATTCATATCCCAACAAAGAATATCGGGACTTTTCGTTTAATTAGTCGCAAGTTAAAAGTCGTCGAAAAATGTAGACATTCGCCAACTTTTTAATTTTATTTTATTCTTTTAAATATGTAAAAATTAAATAAAGTAAAAAAATAAATAAAAAATAAAAAAATTTAAAAAGAAAGAATTAAAAAAAATAATTTTCTTGCGGCTGGATAACAAAAAGTACCACAATATCTAATACCTTATTTTGGGTTTTTCTTTTTTTAATGCGAGGTTGAGGAAATTTAAATGGTTAGGAATCTGCGTGGTGACTATGAAACATTCTTTTAATTTTTATTATCAAACTATTTCAAGCTGCTAGTTTACTTTCGGTTGCTCTTTTATCATTTAAAATCCTTTTCACATTCTATCCTTATTGTTTTTCTATGTTACTCTTATTTATTCACTGTTTCTTTTTTATTAATTTCAAATATTTAATTTTATTATTTAATATCCTATCATTTATACGAGTTTTAGTTAATTTTAATTCGTATTTTTACGACGAATATTTAGTAGAATGTGTTTTAGTTTAATATATTAATTTATATTAAAATGAAGAGCCGTCTGGACCGTGTAGGGGTCAGGGACCTGACCTTGCATCAGAAAGGTTCTGGGTTTGAATCCCGGGTAAGCCATGCATGTTTCATTCTCTGTACTATCTGTCCTTCCTACTATCTGTACTATCTGTACAACGTTAGACCATCTATAATAGTGCCTCTGAAAGAATGGCCAATAAATTTGCCCTGTAAGTGACCGAATTAACAAAATGTTAACAGATGTGGGTATTAGAAATTAAAAATATATTACAATTAAGAATAGCGGGTACATTTTTTAATTAGTATCTGTCCAATGGAATAAATGATTTTAACTTATTCCTAATTTTTTTTCTATTAAATGGTGTTAATATTAATAATGTGAAATCCAAAGTTTTATTTTTTTTAATCTATTGTATTATATCTTATTTTTATACCATATAAACGTTCTTAAATTTCTCCTTGTTTTGCGCATATTTTAAAATTATTGCGTAAATGATAACACAATATAAATTTGATATAAATAAAATAATTTTAATTTTTTATATTTTTCATTGAAATTAGTTGTTTTTAATGTATTAAACTTTCGAAAATTGATAAATATATATTTTTAGGGTTATAAAGCTTAACCACAATCGCGATCCAAGTGAGAATATAAAATATTTTGTGCTTTCTTCGAATAAAGCAAAACAACGTGAATGAAGCACAAATAAAGGACATTGTAAAATATTTTGTTTATAAAGCAGGAACATGTGCGTCCCTTTAGCTTGGGCTCTATTCACGTTTTTATGTTTTATTCACAATCATGGGCATTTCTTTTCCAATGCCCACAGGAGAATGACCTTTCCTCATACAGGCTTCTGAAGGGCAGATTTGTTGGCCACTCTTTCAGGGGCACCATATTAGGTGGGTCAACGTTCCTCCCACAGATAGTACAATGAATGAAAGAACATTCATGCCTTGCCCGGGATTTGAACCCAGAATCTTTCTGATTCAATGTCACTTCCCTGACTCCTATACATGCCGGTCTACACAATCATGATCATTACTGATCGTATACATGAAATACCATTAAATGAGCCTGTAACTACTAACAGCTATAGAAACGCGTTTTTAATAGATGTAGAAAACCTATAACTTTAGAGTTATTTATCACGTTTATTATCAAGTCCTTCAAATTAGAGTAAAAATCACACTAAAACCCTTCTAAAATAAGTGGGAATTGAGTTTAAAAATACACTTCAGCAAAAAATCTTTAGTAAAGAAGTCGGAGAAAAGATATCATTGATCAATATCAATTTAATACAGATTACTTCAGTAAATGAAAAGTCAAAACGTGAAATCGTTGCTAAATCTTATTGATATTGTTCTTTATTTTAACTTAGCACTTCATTTTCTCAAAACATATATTTTTTCATCTATCAGACAGATAATCACTTTCCTCAAAAGTATTTATTTTTTGATGGCTCCGTTGGTATTGGGGGATTTTCTAAACGCTTTTACTATTTCCAAGCTATTAGTTTAATTTGTTTTGTACATAGCACAATTTTGAAGCTCTTTATTATGTTTTTTTAGCTTCAAACAAATTCAGAATTCTTATCGTTTATTTTTAAAAGTTTAATGATTTTTTGAAGTTCGTATCAAAAGTTTTCTTGTTGAATTTGAAAGAGTTCATTGAACATAGAGTTCTCTTATATTTTTCAAGATTGGTGAATTATTATTTCTGTGCCCAACACATAATTTTACATATTCCTTATAGTCAAACAAAATCAGTAAAACTTAATCACAAATGTAATATTTTTTATTATTTTAGGAGTCGTTTTTTTCTCACCTATTTGAGTACTTATTATCAAATTGTATTTTCCAGTTTTTCTTTCGTTGTTTATTAATTATTCTTATTACGTTGAATAAAAAGAAACTTGTTAAAAAACGGTAAGAAACTTGCTAACTCGTAAACGAAAACTTATTAAATTTCAATTTATAACACTGTAAATAATTATCCGTATCTGTAAATAATTATCAGTAAACACTGTAAATAATTATCTGCAAGCACTGTAAATAATTATCTGTATCTGTTACGGTAAATAATTATTATATCGAAAATAGTATTGTAAGTTAGATAAAACTGGTAGTAGATTCAATTATAAATCAAAAGCAAGTAATATAATTTTTTTTGCTCCCTTACTACAGAACAATACTAAAATTGTTTGCTGGATTGTGCTATATGCCTATAAAAGTAATCAGCCTGTAAAAATATTTTTTCTATTACCTATACTAACTAAAACCAATTCTTTTATCGAACTATATCAGCAAATACTTTCTTTAACTATACTTTTTCTCTAACGTTGAAAATATCGTTCATAAATCATTGGTTTTATTTAAAAAAATACCAAACACATTTAATTTCTTTTGTACTGTATTAATCTGTAATATAATATTCAAACAAATTTATATGTATACAAACTTGTTTAGATACTATGTTATCTAGCATCTGCAATATTTGTTTTAAAAATTTCTATTTACTAGATAGATCCGATTTTGAGTCATCTCTTGTTTTCTTCAATCCTTCAAGATTTCGCATACAATTGAAAAAATATAATATCGTTTAATTCAATAAATTGTTTTTCTTACTGGGAAAAGTGAAAATTTAAAAAATAAAAAAAATACTCACACATAAAAACAGTGTAAAATTTATTTCGTAACTCTGTTCAATTTTTACATTCACAGTTATTTACAAGTATCAAAATTCATTTATAAACATGGCACTCTGCTTTTTGAAAGCAATTTCAGTAAAATGTTTATAAAAATATACGTAAAGATATTTTTGAAATGAAAAATTTCACAACAATCAATGTTTTTTAAAATTTGTAACATTTTAATAAAATACGTGATAATAACTACCGATAAAATACGTGAATTTGAGGTGAAAAAATTTACGTATGAATTTACATTGTTCATTTTTGGTATTAGTTTCTTTGTACCGATTATTAAAATTTAAACGAAAATAAAATTATTTTTTCAATACAACAAAACTATTCAAAATTCCATTAAATCCAAGTGTTCAATCTTTTCTTTATTTTCTTGTAGTGTTCATTACTCTTACATTCACTTATAGTTCGCTTTCCTTCTAATAAGAACTATTTTAACTGAAAAAAAAGAGAAGAATTATAGATTAAAGAACAGCGAATATTTCTAATTCCACGAATAATTAACTACTACTCATCAAGAATAACTACCTGTACTGCAAAAAATATATAATTTTAGAATTACTGGTATATCAACTATTTTTTACACAAAGCGTAATTTTTACACAAAAACTAGAAGTTTTATCCCTTTTGATTACACAGGAGAAATATTTATTTATTTACTGTTACATTTTGCTTACTGTTACATGAGTTTTTTGAACGGAATTTAGATATTCTCGCGTTACTGATTTAAAATCGGCAATCAGTTTCAATCAAGCTACAGTTTGCATGCATTTTGATAACATTCAACATCATCTTGATAACATCCTGATAACTTTCTAACCAAGACTTTTATTTTAAATTTACTCGAGTGAATACTATATGTCTCCAAATCTCTGATGTGTAGGGAGTGGTAGGAATAAGATGGTAATTCATTTAACTTTATGATGTGATACGTTAAGGTCATATGTTTTTTGACTTAAGTGCTGTTCTCAAGGTAGCAGAAAAGTATATATATATATATATATGTATGTATGCTCTATAAATCCAACACGTTCCTTGCAAGCTTCTACATTCAGATAAAAAAATAAATTTAACTAAATATATCTTTTTGAAAAAAATCTGTAGCTTTCCGAACAAAACTAATTTTAGATTTAAAATCCTCACACCTGACGTAAGATCAAGTGCTCGTATAAATGTAACAAAAAATTTCTTCCCCAGTGTTTTTATTTTAATGAAGCAAACTCTTTATTCTTATTAACATAAAAAAAAATCTACTGATTTAAACTTCATAACTTGAATTTTTAAACTTCGGCGTGACATAACTTTTTGAAATGCCAATTGCTAATTAAAATTATACATAACTTGTAAACTTTTAGTAAGATCTTTCATGTAATAAAAATTGGCTAAGAATAACTTTGACTTACCGCTCTGCATTGAACTCATTTTTGATCTTCTATCATTAGGTATCAAAGATAAAAATCACATTGGGAAAAATAGCACGGGATCTTCAAATTCAGAAATCCGTCATGTCTATTTTAATGTTTCAAATGAAGATAAGTTATTTGCTGAATATTTTTGAGTCCTTACATGACCATAGCATAATTTCATCGTTCAATGACGGGGATAATAACCTCTAATCCCTAAAAAATTGAAGAAAGACATTTTATCAGCATCTGAATTTACAATAAAATCATTCGACCTTCACAAACAATAATATGTGCAGTTTTGTTAAAAAAATTTTTTTGTTACCACTTAGGTTAGTTTCAACTTACTAACCTAAGAATAGTGTTTTAACTAAGCATAAACTTAGTCAAATCTCTATAATTTTTTGTCTTATATTTTTGCTTTTAAAATATTTTGGGATAATGACGTTGATTACTAGAAAATTCTCAAACAGCATCGTTTTTTTTCGATACGAAAGAAAACAATTCAGAAATGTCACATTTATCCAATTTACCTAATTAAAGCTTCAAATGATTTAAAGCTTCGTAGAAAATTTTGTTCAACAGATGATTAGAAGTTAAATCCAGACAATATTAAAGTTAATTGCAGCATTTAGAAAACGTTTGATTTTGAAGACTTTAATTTGAACATCTACAATATGTAATCTAATTGATCCTTTCTGCGATAAAATTTTAATTTTTATAGCACCAAAAGGAATGAGAATCCTCATACTCAACTCTATATTGGGAGATCACGTCATTATAAATGGTTTCATTTTATACATTTCATGTTTATTGTAAATTTGTATCCTGTTAGTAATTTATTTTCATTAAGAATAAATATCCATTTAAATCAAAAATTTTCTTTTTTCGTAATTTAAGATTCGTAAATGGAGGAACCAAGCAGTTATAGGTCAATCTCATTTTTATCATGTTGGAGGAAGATGCTCGACAAACTGGTAATGAATCATTTCACATACCATCTCGAATCAACTAAGCATATTCATGCAAACCAATTTGGTTTTGGAAAGAAGAAGTCCACTTCTCCGGCTGTGAAGTACCTCATGGACATTGTAAAGGACAGTAGATCTAGACAATTGCACTCGATGGCTATCGTTCTTGATATCAAGGGCGCATTTAATAATGTCAGATGGAACTTGACATTTGAGAAATTTTTAAAGATAAACTCTAAAACAAATATTTTTGGGTTAATCAAGAGCTTCTTGGAAAAACGACTCGTGACATATATTGACGATAACATTGAGATTGGCATGAAGGTTGACATGGGTGCTCCCCAAGGATCAAATCCTGGCCCCGTTCTCTAACTGTTGCTTTCAAATGATATTTTTACCGTCACAGATGATCTTTTTACGAAATTAATTTTACATGCCGATGACATAATTATTTTATATTCAAGAAATATTTTTTACCACTTCCACACTTATGCTACGGCCACTTTGGAGCAAATAAACAACTGGATAGAGAGCCATGGTTTTAACATCTCACAAAACAAATCAATTCAAATTAGTTTCTCAAAAGGCAGGAACAAATTGAGAAGATTTCTATGCATTAAAATGAAATGCAAAAGCATTAAGAAAAGTTTGTTTGAAATATTTGGGTTTCAACATCGATTCAAATTTCTCACGGATCCATCATTTGGATTCTATCCAAAAGTGAATTTTAGATTTATGTAATAACCTAAAAAGAATAACGAAGGCAAGCTGGAGAGTAAGACCAAAAGTTCTCAAACAGGTCTACTACATGGCTCTGGAAAGAGGGATTCTTTATGGCGTCGAAGTGTAGTACACTGCAGTTGTAAAACAAAAACTAAAGCTCAGCTCATGACGAAGACTAGCTTTACTTATAATTACAAAAGCATATAGGACGGTATCCATGGAAGTTCTGCAGGTCCTGTCAGTCGTGCTCCCGCTCGACCTAAGAGTCGAGATCGAGACTGCAGTGGGGAAAACAAACCTTCTGAGCTGTGATTTAAATAGCTTTTGGCATGAACAACCGGGCAAGTATTATAGACCCTGTCTGAATTCATTCATCTAAGAGGAAAAGTTTGCTTTGAGATAAAAGAGTAGACGGAAAACGATCTTAAATTGCGCCTTTGTTGCCTTCAAACAGAACACAGAGTCTAAGTAACAACAACACCGTTTTCCAGGCCAAGATCCACGCTATTCTAAAGGTCCTGGAATGGGCTAATACGAACGCTTGTGGCAATATTTTTCCGACTCTAGATCATCGCGTCAAGCGCTGAAAACACCCAAAAATCCCAGGATCATCAACGATCCATCTAAATCAAGTATCGAATTGCATTGGACGAGAGAGCAAATTGGCACAATGAGTGACGAGCACGCAGACAGTCTAGCCAAAGAGGCCGCTAACCTTGATGATATCTCTATCCTCTACGACACAACATAATCCCAATTAAAGAATAATTTAATGGCTCTGGCTTTGTAAATTCGGCAAAAGAGATGGAATAAAGTCGGATATTTTAGTGGCGTAGGGAAAGGAACGCCAGCTGTTCTGATTTATATTAAAAGTAAGTCTAAATAAACTCGAAGCTTACTTCTTTTTCAATCGACTAATAACGGGACACGGCATACAGAATGAATACCAAGGAAGATTCATCAATAAATCAAGTTAATGCTAAACCCTGGAAAATACTTTACACATAATTGAGCCCTGTCCAATGTATGATCATATCAGGAAAACCATCTTCCCCAAAAGTATAATTGCTCCCTTAAAAGTGACAGATGAAGAGAAGATCTAGTGTAAATCATGAAAGAGATTTTTGAAGATAGATTACCGGTGATGGATGAAGAGGACTAATTGGTGCTCCACCTTTTTAGACGACTTCGTTTGGCTTCAAGGACGTGATTCTCACAACTTTTAACCGCTTTAATGGGTTTTTAATATAGCTGATTCTATCATGTTGTTTTTATCAAATTTTTCGTTCTTTTAATACTTTTTTGTTTTAAATACCCTAATTTTACTTTTTCTCCTGATGTATTTTATATTCTTACATTTTATCCACACTTTTATATCCTACCTTCAACCTCTACTACTGTATTTTACGCAACTTGATGATGTTTTCAGCCTATTTTAATAAATTTTATGATGCAGAACCTTATTTTTACTGTACTCGATGTTCACCTTATTCTTGAGGTTTTTTTTCAAGTTTTTTGATATACTTTCTACCCATTTTTTGCATCCCTGATTTTGAATTAATAAAGCAAGGTTAGAGGGAGCCCTGCTGCCTTCCAGTCTGGGGCTTTGTGGTGTATTGCTGCCCTGGTTAGGGGGGAGCTGGCGGTCCCTTTGTCACCATGGGGGTTTGGTCCCTGTGGGTCAAAGCTGCAGCCTTCCGACATGCCTGAACGTGTCTTGAACTAGACTCGTATGGTTCCTCACTGAACTCTCTTTTGATAGAAGACACGTATGCTCCTAGGGGTGGGTCAAGGCTTTATCCATCTTTTTACAAATAAAGAAAGATAATGCAAATATCTTCTGAATTTAATTTTATTTAAAAACATCGTTTAGCATCTGAATCATTTGGTGTTTCCGGTCATCAAAGGTTTTAATTTTTAGCGCAACCTAGAGAGAAAGATTTTCCCTGAAATTTATTGGAACAAGCTCGAATTTACTTAGTACTTTTTAATGGAATTACCAGCATTTGCGTTACATGGAGAGGAATACCACAAAAACTTTCTTATGGTTAGCCAGTGGTGGCTTTCTTAGCATTTACTAGAGTTTTTTCATTTTTATGCTGGCAAATGTTATGTTATTTTACAAAAATAAATCAACTTTATTAGAAAATTAAGATATGCATGAATGAAGTTTCAAATATTAAGTGCTTTGTGTCCCATAAATTTAAAAGTTTTATTTTAAATACATCAAAGTTGTTTATTTGAAAATTAAAATGACGTGATTGTTGATAAAAATAAATGTAACTGAGTTATTTGATCAAATATTAATGATGGAAAGATAAAATAAATGATAATACCAAATAATAAGTCTTTGTAATTTATTTAACTGCTGTAATTTTTAAAAATAGATTGAAAAACTATGGACGTGTCTTTTTGTGTGCCCCCCGGATACAACATCTAGTGCATATGCTTCTAGGGTTCGCAGTGTTTTGAATTTCGTGAACTCCTGGCTTTTCTGTACTACTTTAAAATATTTTTAGAATTTCAGTTTTTCCTTCTTTTCAAAAAGAGTGACCATGCCAGACACTCGCAACATAACTTCTCTTTAACAGCGATTTTTTTACCTCAATCGTTCGCATTATCCTGCTACTTTAGATCATTTTAATTCATTTATAGTTTTTTCTTATAAATTTTATTTCTGTAAGTAATAAGAAAACTAAAGGTTTTAAAAACAATTATATATTCCTTACTTCTTCATTCAGTACATGAGCTTTGCAAAGCACTGTCTCAAATGAAGCAGTTCTACCACTCATGAATTGTTCATAAATACATTCAGATGCTGACTGAGACAAATGGATGTATTCTAAAACAAAATAAAATGCAAAATTTCATTTTTTCCCACAGTAAATTACTTATACTGAGTAATAAACATAATTACGAGATTTTATCAAAGTTTCCATTTACTTTTTTGAAAATTAATTTGATTCATTAATTTTTTTTTCAGAATTTAAATAACCTGATGTAATTTAGTAATTAATATTCAGATTCCAAGGGAATGGTATGCATGTTTTTTATTTGTTGGCTAAGTTTATCTGCAGCCTACCAGAGGATTTACAGCATACAGCAGATCTACAGCTTAAATATGAATATATAATATATATTTTTTAATCAAATATTGGAACTCAAATAGACAGAATAAAAATAATCAAAAGTTTATTTTAAATACTCAATTGTTCAATGCGAGTAAAATTTATTTAAACAATAAATGCACTACAAAATTTATATTTCAGTCGTACAATATTTTTTAAAAAATATTCAATTATGCAATGTTTTGAGTTGTGTTTCTTTACTCATTAATTGCTACCAATGGAGACACCATGCAGGGGAAAAGAAGATATTATACAGAGTGTTTATAAAGTCCCGGCCTCATTTTGATGTTTAATAACTCATAAAATAATAAAGATAGATTAAAATTAATAGCATAAATGGTTAGTTAGACTCAAAAAGTTTCGTGACCCTTGTCAATGAACTTCCATGTGTGCCCCCTTCGTCGCACGGAGAATATCAAGTCGATAGTCAATTTCCCGCTTGGTAGCGGCAAGCATGTCGGTATCCACAGAGGCTATTGCGGTGGTAATTCTGGCCTTTAGGTCATCATTGTTCGACACGATCCTCCTGTAAACATTGTCCTTTAAAAGTCCACAAAGAAAAAAGTCCAGTGGAGTTATATCAGGCGATCAGGACGATAGGCCTAGGAGGATGGCGTTTGCAACTGATATGGTAGGAAGAAGATGATGCTGATTTTCTGAAGCGCATAATGTTCTCCGACGAAGCATCCTTTTATGTTTCTGGCATTGTTAATCGCCATAATGTGCGCATATGGGGATCTGAAAACCCCCATAAATACCGTGAGACACAAAGGGATTTCCAAAGGTTAATGTGTGGTGTGAACTAATGCACGACCGAGTCATTGGGCCTTTCTTTTTTACAGAAAAGACGGTCTCATCAGTCGTATACTTAGACATGTTGGAAAACTTCGTATTTCCACAACTAGAAGAGCTTCAGTAACATGTCTTTTTGCAACAAGATGGTGCGCCTCCTCATTGGGGTATCATCGTTCGTAGTTCTTTGAATGACCATTTTCCAGGAAGATGGATTGGGCGAGGAGGCCCAACTCTTTGGCCACCCAGATCACCTGATATAACACCGCTGGACCTTTTTCTTTGGGGATTTATAAGGACAATGCTTACAGGAGGATCGTGTCGAACATTAATGACCTAAAAGCTAGAGTTACAGAGTTACAACCGCAATAGCTTCTGTGGATGCCGACATCCTTGCCGCTTCCTGGCATGAAATTGACTATCGACTTGATATTCTCCGTGCGACGAAGGGGGCACACGTGGAAGTTCATTGACAAGGGTCACAAAACTTTTTGAGTCTATCTAACCATTTATGTTATTAATTTTAATCTATATTTATTATTTTATGAGTTATTAAACATCAAAATGGGTCCGGGACTTTATAAACACTCTGTATAACTACTAATTAGGTTAACAATTTTAAAGCGTTCCTAGATAAATGTAATAATTTTGAATACTGTATATCCCAGTGTATAAGTCGGCTTTTTAAACTCTTAAAATTTCACGAAAATCAGGGAGTTAACATACCACAGGTTATCAAGTCAGACATTTGCTGATCGAAAAATATCGATAATTTATAAACAATGGCATACATATGACTAACTCTGTATCAATGGACCCCTTTCAAAAACTAGCTATTTTTAATATGTTATTTGCAATTAATTTTGCATTTATTTCTTAACTGGTTGCTTCTCAGCATTTGTCAATGCATAATTATTTTAGAACATATGTATCATATCCAGAGCGAACAATGAGCAATATTTGATATGCTTGATACTATACTTGATACTACAATTTATATATACTTCTATATATACTATTTCGATATATTCATCCGGCATACCAGAAATCAGCTATCTTTTAATTTGATATAAAGTATTTACTTTAATTATTTTAAACATGAGAGTTTCAAACATGAAATAAATAAGTTAAAAAAAAGACATTCACTATTTTATCAACAAATATAAAAAAAAACTAAAAAAATGCAATGCAATGGAAAATGTGGTTTATTAAGATTGTATAAAAATGATTATAATTATGGAAATTGAAGCATTATCTAATATATATAATTCTCTTACGTGGCTCCCAAATCTTGGCTGTATTTCTTTTCCGTCGGTGGCAACGTTTGCTTTGTTTTGTTTACGTTTTGAAAACACCAAAGCATTCTGTCTTTTAATGATGTGTTTCAGATCTAATATGTATAATTCTCTTACGTGGCTCCCAAATTTTGGCTGAAGTACTTTGTACAACTAAATAAGATTCTTTTCACAACACTTAAATATTTACTTTATTTTCTTCATTTATAGAGAAAACAGTCGGCAAAGAATTCTGCTAGGTTAAAAAACATTTCGCTAAAAAAATAAAGATCTCTAAAAGAAATAAAAATAAACAACTTAAAAAATAAAAATGCTGTTGCCAGCCATAGAATTTTTTGAAAGTTAACTTAGCAACATAAATCAAAATGACATAGAAGCGCAACTAGATCAAAATTATGATACCAGAGCGCTTGCCGTAACAAATCCTTCAATTCTATAAGTGTTGTATCGCCAAATGCCCAAATTAACAATTGTATTTTTAAGGTTTGTTCATTGATTTG